CCTGTAAGAATATATACTCTCCATAAATGGCAACACGTGTTATTATTGAAGACGAACAACAACGTTTACAAAACAAAAATATTCATCATTTACGAGAATTACATTTAATGAAACTCAATGAAGATGAAGAAATCATCGCCAGAGAAGAGCTTAAAAAATGCGATGAAGAACAAAGTGAATTAGAAAGACTTGATGACGTTGATTCATATCAGTCCAGAATGGAAATTAATGATCTAAAAGAACAAATTAAAAAAGCTGAAATAGAACGCGAATCATTGAGGAAACAATGTGAAGAATGTCGTACTCAACACGAAAAAACAAATAGCTGTTTTAGAAAAACTAAGGGTGTTGGTGTGGGGTGGGTGCTGTGGGTGTGAGTGTGAGTGTGGGTGTGGGTGTGGATGTTGTTTCTTTTTAAAAATACACCCACACCCACCACCCACCACCCACACCCACACACCCACCCCCACCCCACATGCACACCCACACCCACACCGACATCCACACCCACACCCACGCCCACACCTACACCCACCACCCCACACCCACACCCCACATCCCATCCACACCCATACCCACACACCCGCCCCCACACCCCACACCCACACCCCACACGCCACACCCGAATTTAAAAAGGTTTTTTTACTAAAATGATCAGCGAAGAGACCTTTACATAGTCTGAAAGGCGAAAACAATTAACTGAGAATATTATGCTTTAATGGCCGACTACGGTGGAAGTATCCACTTGCATCTCTAACATTCAAAACTTTCCGTAATTCTATAGTCCATTCTCATTTTATAAACAGTCAGTTATACTCCTAAATCCCACTTTTCACGAGCTTTCATTTGGCACAAAATTTGAATGTGGATATTATTTGCCGTTAGAGCTAGGGTGTGGATGGGTGTGGGTGTGAGTGTGGGCACAGGAGTGTGCGTATCGGTGTGGATGTGTAGGTGAGGCTGTGGGTGTGAGTGTGAGTGTGAGTGAGGATTCAGGTCTTCTCTTTACTCAGACCCACACCCACACCCACACCCCACACCCACACCCTTATTTTTACAGTGCAGTATGCCTGACATTTTTTCAACATAATGTAATAACACCGCCGACAAAGTGAAACAAATATCATACGATAAATTTATTCGTAGTTAGTAACAAAAATCTTGATGAAACACGCTGGTATAGTGATAAGCTTTCAGAGGAAATGAAATATACCAACTATATAGCATCTATTTATTCTAACAAAATCCTGACAATTTTATCAAAATGATAACCATCTTCGCTTGTTTTTATCTTTTTCTCTGTTAAAATGCTACACAACGAGTTTTTCTTATTTTATTTATCTACGACCGTGAGATATCCGTTTTTGTGTTTGTAACTACAGTATGGACACTCAATTAACTGAAAAACAAGTGTCGAAATCCGGTGAATTAACTGAAGTGACTGTGGATTCAACATCTGAAGTTAATTTATCGACTGTAATGAATAATACTTCAGAATCACAAGCACAACAACAAAATACTGCAATTAATATAGATGATCGTTTTGGTCCTAGTTGTGCTTCTGTTTTATCGGACATCGAAATTTTTGACAACATAATTAAACGAAGTAAATGTGTAGATCGTTATCGACGATTGTACCTTTTTATAGGTTGTATTCCAACACTTATTATTACATGTTCAATATGGATTATATGGGCCTGTATAAATTGTGACGAGAACGTTTCTCTATGTAAAACATCGCACACATTACATACAGTTGGTATTGTATTCGCTTGTATCACTGCTTTGATATTCTTTTGGGCCATTTATTATGGTGCGAAACATTATATGAATGGACGAATTTATGCAATTTTACGGAATAATGTTCGTTATTTAATTAAACTGGAAGGTGAACAATGGATTTCATACGTTAATTATTTATACGGACCTGATCGTGCGGGTTTTACGCATTTAGGAGCTGTTGGAGCTTTTACATTTTGTTGTTGTCGTCGGCCACATTACCAACAATTGATTGAACGAGGTTATGGTTATATCGTCTTGTGTAAACATGGTTTTTTACTTGATGAAATGTTCAGTGTCGTTCGTAATGATACACACAACATTTTGAAAGTGGTACATCTTTTGGGTACAGGATTAAGGGTGTATCTTCTTCGAACAGACGCCAAAGTTTTGGTCAGTAATTATGACAGCTCGGAAACACGAGCACGAAAGGCTCAATTAGCAGCCATTCGACAAACAACGCCATTGGATATTTACTTACCCAATACAATATCTGCAACTACAGCTACTCTTCTCGCATTACAGATTGAACATGGAATCTAAATCATAACATTTTTTAAAGTTTCTTTTTCTTTTAAGAGCCAGTCCATGTAAGCCACAACCGACTCTGCTCAATCGAGGTCGTCAGATCTTGCTCAATTTAAGGGATGTGATAGAGGGAAGAGTTCTAAGAATTTTGGCGCAAGCCGTTTTAAAAAGTATTGATCCCTCGATTTTTTATGAACATTTTACGAAAAGCCCTAAAATTGGCCATATTCATCAACGGGAGTGCTAATGAGGCTATATCTAAAAAATGGGTGTGGGTGTGGGTGGGTGTGGGTGTGGGTGGGTGTGGGTGTGAGTGGGTGTGGATGTGGGGTGTTGGTGTGGATGTGGATGTGGGTGTAGATAGAAGGAATATCCACTAACACCCACACCCTTTCTAGTTCCTTGTAATAAAATATTTTTTTTGTCGGACAAAGACTATCAATTATATAAATTTCAAAACATTCATTGAATTTTTTGTTTTTAGACTTCCTGAATTTCTCGGTGAAGATGTTATTAAAGATAAAGGTCTTTGTTGTCGATTTGTTATTTCTAATGTTCCACGTGATGCACCTGTTACTGAACCTGCTATTCCATTAGCTATATTTCAATCAGAACAATCTATACGTAATCATTATTTACGTAAATGGTTACGTCTTTCAACTGTTGATAATCTTGATATACGTGAAATTCTTGATTGGAATTATTAAATTGATCGTTTTAATAGTTGTATACAAAAAAGTCATCACCATTCCAGCTGCTTTACAAAATATTCGTAATCCAGTACCACGTGTATCACATCCTGATTGGTTACATAAACGTTTAGGTGAACAATATAGTTTATATAAACAAAAACGTATAACTAATGTATTTAGTTCAATTGATAAACAAACACATATAGATAATAATGGACAACAATTAATATTAACAAACGATATTGAAGATATAGGCCAACAAACCGAATCATCAATAAAATTAATAAAAAAAACAACAAAAAAAAAACATTAAAACGTAAACGTGATGATTTAAATGATAAAACGATAACACGTCAATGGAGAATTGTTCTTGATTCACCATCATCATTTGGTCAAACAACCTATGATAATTATCGTACATCAATTGAAAACAATAATAATAATAATAATAATGCACATGAACAATTAAAACAAACCCAACCATCAAGTGGTTATGAACGTACAATTAATAATTGTTCAAAACATGTCAATCGTTTATTACCACGTTGTCCACAAGCTTATTATTTAGATGAATATTATTTAGATGAAAATCATTTTCATGATTATTATACAGATATAATGACAGATTTAAGTAATCCAAATATTGAAGGTGTTTATGAAATGAATGTACCATTAGATTTTCGTTTACTTGTTACACTTGATTGTATATGTTCATTACGTAAAGAACAATATCGTACAAATATGCTTTCAAATTTATATCAATATGATGAATTAGAATTTTTATCATTATCAGAACAAACAGATTGACAAGCAGGAACATTACAATGTATTTATTTATATATACATCAAGATAATGGAAAATTATTTATTTGCTTTATTTATACCAAATAATTGTCGTGTATTTATTGGTATTTTAGATAGTATTAGAGAAAATCATATGCCAAATTTAAATGAATTATTAAAAAATGAATGTGAAAAAAGACTTCAAAAAGGTATTGATACAAGTTTACTTAGGGCATACCAAAAGTACGGGCAGTGACACTTTAATATCGTATAATAGGTTTAAATAACTTTCTTTCTGTATAGTCTGATAGAGAAAAAAAAGCGCTATCTTTCTATGCTATTTGATCATACTTCAACTAATATTGTAATATTAAATTATCTATAAAACCGATTTCGGCTGTTTATGCGCTGGTTGTACTAGATAACAACGTGTGAAACAGATTAGTTATCAATCGCTTAATACATTGTATGAACAACCAAAATATATCATAAGATGCAGCGTGAAAAGCTCTACAATTTATATAAGACCACTTCTTTTATAGCTGCACTTTTTGTTTCAAAATGGACAAAGTTTTGAGGAAACAAATTTTGGGCATTGCAAAAATTGTTTGCACAGAATTTCCCTTTTTCTGAAAACAATTACAATAAGCATTACTGTGTAAATTGTAGAGCCTTTCACGCTGCATCTTGTAGCATATTTAGTTTTTACTTTGATCAAGCATATCAGATGATGAAACAATGAAATAATAAAGAATGAATTCGTTGTATCGAAAACATTATCTTTTTCCTATGGTCGAAATTTGATTGCTCAAAATTTTGTCCATTTTTAAAATAAAAAGTGCAGCGATAAAATAAGTGTTCTTATGTAAATTTTAGAGCTTTTCACGCTGCATCTTATGATATATTTTGGTTGTTAATACAACTAATAAGGAATTGAAAACTGCAAAGTAAAACTTACTACGAGTACACAACCAGTCGAAATAGGTTTTATAGATAATTTAATATTATAATGTTAGTTGAAGTATGATCAAATAGCATAGAAAGATAGAGCTTTTTTTTCTCTATCAGACTATACAGAAAGAAAGTTATTTAAACCAATTACACGGTATTAAAATGTCACTGCCCGTACTTTTGGTATGCCCTAAGTATTACTAATAAATGAACATCAATTTGAAGTTAAATTTGATATGGATATACAAAAGATTTGGAAAAGATTTATTAAAATTATTTCAAATCGTAAGTAAAATTTACTTAATTTAAATCAATAGACAATAATTCAAATAAAGTTCTTCATTAGCTCTTTTTTTTTTTACAAAAGATGAAATCTCGAATGAAAAATAGTTACCAGAAAAAAACCTACACAATCCGTATTATATGATACACAAGTAGTAGATAAGACCATTTTTCGATAGTTCAACCTCTGGACCATTAGTTTACTCACTCTCATCTTGCCCGGATTAATGGGGTGGTCATTGTTTGATAATAAAACGATCGGCTACTCTATAGCATAACGTTTTCGAAAGATATTCATCAAACAAGGCAAAAAAAAACAATTAGCTACAATGAAATTCTTTCGAAAATTTTTCGATACAGCGACACTTACACTGTTTGTGAAAGACTCAATCTGATTTATTTTAAAATCGAACTTTTCTCTATAGCCATTATTGATGGATAGATTTTCTTGAAACTCTTATTATAAAAAATAACATTATTATCATAGTTCGTGAAAATGATATGGCAACTCGTTCATTACCAATCTATTTGGCTATTCAATCAAATATTCCTGTAACTAATCTTCAATCATCTATGTTATCATCATTAAATGATTATTCAAAAGTAATAATATCAATAAAAGATAAAACTAATTTATATAAAGGTCTTGATTGACAACGAACAGCAGCACGTCATGCATTACAACATTATGCAAATGCAAATATAATATTTGTTAATATGCTTGAACAATGTCGATATCTTTATATACCATTAGGAAATTTTCCTGATGATCCATGTTTATTTGCATGTAATCTATTCTATGCTCGACAGTTAATTAAACATAATCATTTACTATGGTGTTCATTAACAGACCAACCTGATTTAGGTGGAAAAAAACAAGATGATTATCGAATGTTATTAACAGCTGATGTTAATGATAATCATGGTAATAATCATATGAATTCAAATGATAATATGTTTAAAAATGATAATAAAGGAATACATACAAATAAACAAAATCATCCATTTGAAATAAATTATTCAGGATTTTATCCAACATCATTGTGTTGAATTTGAACTTGTTGGTTTAGCTATATGTGCTGTATTAAATTTTCAAAAATTACATAAAGATGAAGGATCAAATTTTGATCTTGGTAATAAAAAATAAAATTCTAAATTTTATTTTATTTTTTGTTTTGTTTTTTATAAATTTTTAAGGTTTTGGTACAATTGTACAAAATTCTTTATGTGGTCCTGATGTTATGATGAAACAACACAATGTTTACCAGCATTATGTCTTCTACGACAAATGGTTCAAATATGGTTACAAGATGTTCATTCATATACAAATATATTTGCTGATATGCAATTAAATCATTTTTATTATTGGTTACAATCAACAAAAAATCTTCTTTATGAACCAGCATTGAAACGTACTATTCAAGTATCTATGAGAAAATTACTGTAAAGAATTCATATATAGTAAATTTTATTAAATAATAATTTAAAAAACTTGTTTTTTGTTTTCTTTTAGTGTACAATTACTTGTTGAATCACCACGTATTTGGTAGTACAACAATATATGGAAATTTAAATAAAATTATTTTATCAACAAAACGTTGGTCACTTATTGATACACGTTTATATATTAAAGTTATACTTGAACATTTACAATTAAAAGATTTAACATCAACAATATGTTCAGAATTAATATCAATTTATCATTGCTTATGATGGTTTGATGATAAAAATTATTGTGGATTTCGTATATGATCAAATATAACAGGACAACATTGTTAATATTGATAATAATGATGAAGAAGAAACAGTTTTTGATTGGAATATGATTGTTTATTTACAAGAAGTTGTTTAAGATTATTTTGAAATAATTATGTAAACAAATTTTATTTATTTATAAGAATTCGATAGAATAAATTTTCAATTTAAACCAGTGTCATGCAATTCAAATGTGATTTGTATTGAGAATCTCCTCAATAAAAGCTTTTTAGTTAGGTGTAAGAATGTTGAGTTAATTGACTTTTATGTTTAGAGTAGACTAGTAACTGTTGTGTTGGACACGAATGAGTTTAATGCAAATGCAACGAATCAATTTGAGTATGATCTCACAACTAGATCTGAATTGATAATGAAAGTGATTTTGACGTTTTATAGATATGAATATTTGCACTTCCATACTAGCAGAAAAACCGTGTCAATGAAAGTGCCATAATTTGTGAGAGAGCTGCTCTAACAAGAAAAACACATTTATTTGCTAGTGAAATTTCAAATGAAAATTCTTGAATTGAACGTTTTCGAAAAATCTGATTATAGGTCCAAAATTTAGTAAAACTTATTTGTATAATTTCTTTTACTAAAATGTATTAGCCAGCTATCCTCTTAGGATTTTCTTAGTCTCATTCATAGCTATTTCTACTCATGACATAGAATAACAACTTGTGAAAAGTTAGAACGGCTCTCATATGAATTGTACAAGGTTTATTAAAAATGATTCGTCTCTTACTGAAGACATGATCTAAGCAAATGTATTGAAAGAAGTCAAATTCTCTTGAACTTTCGCTTTGAATAATGCTCTGAACTGGCTCACAAAATATCAACGAAAATGGTGTGGATTAATTGAAGTTTTTTCTGCGTTAAGTGGCTTAATCTAGTTTCACTAAATAAAACTGTCTATATTTGACTGTGAGTCTTATTTGCTATCTGTGAACAGATGTTCAAAGATAGCAAAAAATCATAACATTTTCGAAAGATTTCAAAGGTCATTGAATCTGCTTTTTTTTCTCATAATATAATGACTCACAATGAAAGTAAAAATACTATTTAAAATGAGCAACACACAAAAATAAAAAACAAAAATATTTTTTATCTAATCTTTCATTTTAAATATTTGGTTCAATATATATTTAATATTTGTACGTGTAGGATAAATAAGTAATGAATCAGATTCATTGTAGGCATGTTTGTTTAATTAAGATAGCCTTAACATCGATATCCATATCATCTCAACATAAGCAGCTAATTTTGTTTATGTATGATTCTAACATTATTTATTATTCTTGTAGATTCGACAAAATTTTAAACAATTAAAATGGCAAACAAATATGAACTCGAACATATTCATCGAGATGGCACAATCAGCGCAAGAACGATTAGGTAGAATAGACTTCGTTTATCCATTACATTGTGTTTTTAAAATATCTGAACTCGATAAAACTACAAATAATTATGTTTTTATGTATGAATGTAAAATTACGGTACAAGCTGGTACACTTAATGATGGACTTAAGCTTCATTGAAGTGAATTAACTCGACAACAACATTATCGTCTTGGGCCCCAAACAGACTGAAAAAAGATAAGACGAGTTAAAAGTGAATTAACCAATATAATTTTCGTTGTTACGTTGAAACACCAATCATGTTGCTTAATTCAACTTTAAGTTAATTCATATTTCTCTGTCTGTTTTACCTGTAAGTGGAACTTTAATTCATTTTTCAATCGTCTAGTCTGTTTTGAGGGCATTGTCTTTATGAAAATATATATAACTCAATATGAATATACAATAGAAAATAAAAAAATAAACATGAGCGTTAGTTTAGTGGAAATTTTACCTGACGATATTCTTTATGAAATTTTTCGTTATTTATCTTCAATTGATGTTCTTCAATCATTTTTATTATTGAGTAAACGTTTCTCAAGAATGATAAGAAATGAATATTTGTGGCACATTCATATCGGTGATTCAACAGTGTCATTAATGATGTTCAATGATCATTGCCACAATGTCTTGAAATTAATAGGAAGTCGCATCGTCTCATTACGTCTGACATTAATCAATGTTATTGGTGGATGGTCACTTATTTCATCTTCTCTTCGAAATCATCAAACAAAATTGCTTCAACGTCTACACTTGATCGACATTAAACCACATGAATTTGATAAATTATTGTGTAATCATTTCATAAAACAATTACATACTTTATTAGTTGATGTGACACCTAATCTTTTTAATTGTCTTCAAGTTGAAGGAATTTATCTAGTTAAGGTAAAAAACTACTACTCCCTACTATTCAATATAGAATTGTCTTTAGTTATCTTAACAAATATTTTAAATATAATAATGTAGAAAATCTAATTTTTTCAATTATTTAATTAAAGGTATGTTCACGAATGCCTCTTCTAAGAATCTGTCGACTTTCATTTAATCATAATGATGGTAATGTTAATCAAATAGAAACCTATTTATTAAGATATCACATGACTTTACCAAATTTATTAAATACAAATCATCTTCGTGCATTGACTATTGGTATACATACATCACACTTTCTCAAACGTTTACTATTATGTATACCATTGATTGAGAATCTTTCTTTTGGCATAAGAGATCGAGATATCAGTGAGAATGATGTACATGATAGAATCACGTAAGTAACATACTATCATATGTAAATGTATCTGTGATATGAATCGTTTTAGGTTGCCTGCCACTATCGATGCTCATCTTCTTCAATATCTATCTCGTCTGCGTATACATTGTTTGAATAACATAAGTTTTCATCGAACAATTGCGCTTTTATCATCTATATTTTGTCAACTTTGTCATTTATCATTAAAATTAGAAGCAAATACATTAATTTCTGGTTCATCGATTATATCAGGTGATATTATTCAACAATTATGTATCGATCGTCTTAAACCAATGGCAACCTATAGTCTTAATCTATTATTATATGTTGAACATGACTTGGAAGAAAAAATAATTTTCAATTCATTTTTTCAAGTTTCATTTACTCAGCGACAAAAGCCGAGAGTTTTTATACAAGAATGCAATGATTCTGGTATAAGTTCTAGATATCATTTTTTTATGGTATATACTCTTCCATATAATGACACCATTCTTCTATCAAACATGTTTTCTACAGATCTTGAAAAGTATATCGAAAATATTTACTTGTATAAAAGATTAATATGAATCTTTTTCTTTTATTCTGTTTAGATCTTGTCAAATGTCAACTGATGTAACAAATTTGTTTCCACGTGCTAATACACTATCTCCGTGTGGTTATAAGAAGGTCAATGGTGTTCGAGATCTTGGCAAGCCTGGATGTTCCATATCATCATTAATTCCTTGGTCATTATTAACACACATTGAAATCAATCATAGTGATGTTATTACTCAACATACATTACAGTCATTATTACGGATAGCTTATAATGTACATACACTAGAAATAATTGATGAGAGAGGAATTTTACTTCGC